AATACTACTGTAACCCTGCTCTGCTCCTCCTCCTCCTTTCCACCGCCCCTCTCCTACTTACCTCCCACTCCTGCGTCCTTTATCCTCCCTTTGCCGCCTTGTCCTCCTCCTTCCTTCCTCATCTAAGCCTATTTAATGATTACATAAGCAGTTCATACCTCTACATCCTCCTAAGACATTTCCTCTCCGCCTCCTACCGTTATACATCATCTGCTGATCCTTATCCTCACCCTCCCAACCTACATTCTCAACCTTACCTTTTCTTTATCAGAATTTCGTACCGCTACAGTAATACTCCGCCTCCTTGATCTCCTCCTCCTCCCTCCTTCGCCTCCTTTTCCTCATGCTCCTTATCCTTATCCTCATCGTCATACTCCTCCTTCCTATTCTTCCTCCTCCTATTCTTCCTCCTTATCCTAGTTCCTGCTAATCCTCACACATCCAAAACATAATACTAAGCAGCCATAATCTTTCATCCTCCCCCCCCACCCATTCCTCCTTTCTCCCCCAAACTACAGAATACTCCCCTAACAACCTCAATCCGGCAGCTCCCTCCGCCTACATCTCATCCTAATTCCTCCTCCTCCTCCTCCTCCTCCTACCTCCGCCCTCGTCCTTCTCCACTCCTCCTTCTTACCTCCTCAGTACTCCTCCTCGTTGCTATGCTAGTCCATCCGCCTCCTCCGCTCCTCTCTCATCCTCCTCCTCCTCATCCTCCCTCTTCCTTCTCCTCCTCGTTCCTCCTCTCCTTCCTCTTCTTCTTCTTCTTCTCCTCCTCCTCGGTCCTGCTCCTCCCTCCTCTTTCTTCTTCTCTCCTCCTGCTTCCTCATCCTCCTTCTCCTCCCCCTCCTCCTTCTCCTCCCCCTCCTCCTCCTCCTCCTGCTCCTCCTCTTCCTGCTCCTCCTCCTCCTCCTTCTCCCGCTTCTTCCTCCTCCTCCCCCTTTTCCTCGCAGGGCTTCTCACTTGCATGGCCTGCTCCGGCGGGCGTTCGGCCAGGACGCCGCTTCCGACGGGTGGGACTCCTCCTCCTCTTCCTCCTCTTCCTCCTTCTTGTTTTGACGCTGCGCGGACCTAATGCGTCAGCCTGTTGCGTTCTTCCTCCTTCTCCTCCTCCTACTCCTCATCCTCATCCTCATCCTCCTCCCTTCCTTCCCTCTTCCGCTTCCTCCTCCTCCTCCTCCCTCCTTCTCCTCCCCCTCCTCCTCCTCCTCCTCCTCCTCCTCCTCCTCCTCCTCCTCCTCCTCCTCCTCCTCCTCCTCCTGCGCCCCGAGGTGAGGCCTGGTACCTGTTTTCATAGTGTCAGTGCCGAGCACCTTCGGGGCACGCTGTACACGGCACTTAATTTGCAGGTTGGGCGGGGAGCAACCGGCCGATTTTTCTGGAACTGCGGGCTCTGGGGCTTGGGGTGGACGTTGCGAAAACTGTATCGACGGGTCTCCCGTCGTTGGGTGTAGCACGGCCCCAGTCTCAGCCTGGCCCTGCGGGTGAGGGCGGGTAGCGGCGCCTGTGCGGTCATTTCGTTGTGATCTGACCCTCAGGGATCGGCATTTCCTCGGGAGGCGGTGGCTTGTGCCACGTAAGTCCCAAGGGGCCTTGTGCCCACCCAGGGCTGGGGAGCTTGTGCTCCTCGGTATGCCGTGCCAGCTGTTCCGACTGGGATGCCTTTGGCTCCCAACGCACCATGTCGGAACCGCTGGGCCGCGAGTCTTCACAGGCGACGCGGTCACCCCCTGTGCCCTTCCTGCGCAGTTGTTGCTGCTCTCCGGGCGGTAGTTCGTTGGCTGGGCGCGCGCAATGCACGGGCGGCCTTCGGGAGACCGACCCTGGGCGCCGGACTCCTCCTCCTCCTGCTTCTCCTCCTCCTCCTTCTCCACATCCTGCTGCTCCTCCTCCCTCCTCCTCCTCCTCCTCCTCCTCCTCCTCCTCCTCCTCCTCCTCCTCCTCCTCCTCCTCCTCCTCCTCCCCCTCCTCTTCCTCCGCCTTCTCCCCCCCCCTGACCCCTGGTCGCAAGCTGGCGGTCCGAGAGACCAAGACGGCCCAAGAGCGCATAGAGATGTCACAATAAGGCTCGACGACGGCCCAAGAAAACCCAAGAGGGGCCCAAGGTGGCCCCGCGAGGCTGCAAGACATTCCCAAGTGGACCCCGCGACGACCAACACCCGATGACCCGATTGCTTGTGAGCGACTAGAGCCTCAGAGCGCGCGATGCGCGTGCGTAGTAATGATAGCAAGATGCGGCGGGCGCAATTCGGCCATATTTTTCTTGTTCCGCCATGACAGGGAGCACCGCAACCTGAGATTGCTCAACGCCATTTCAGGTCACTCAACGAACCCTAAATCGGAGGCGTGTCGGGCGCGCGTTCGCCAGACGCCTCTGCTAGCGCATGTTATTTGGATTATTTCCTGCAGCGCGGGCAGCATGAACACCGTCTTGACGCCCCTCGGAAGTGTGGGCCATCAGGGATCTGCGTGGCGCCCTAGCAACACCGCGCTTAGGATTCGGGGTGATCTCGCGCCCGCGACCACCTGCAAGCCCGCTCCTCCTAGAGCCAAACCCACATCGTGCATAGTACCATCTAGCTGCTCTGTATCATCCGGACAGCTGTCATTGGCATCATGATGTTGTATTGTTTGAGGACTTAACGTATTCCATGCTGGATCCCCTGATCAGACGGGAACGTGTGTTTTGCGTGTGGTGTTGAATCATTGTCGTTTGATTACGTGTCTTCGTTCAAAACGCGCCCGCCAATGCGAGCAACACCGTTGCTGATTGAACAAGGTTAGTTAGCTATACAGACGATGTAGATGCCCATAGTGGGCCCATTTCCCGGGGACCAGCTTTTCACCACGAGCTTGTCTGTGGCCCGGCGAGGGCCTTTGGAGGCCGAACTGCGCCAAACAGTTTCCGTCGGTATTCTTCCCCGGCGCCAGTACCCCCCTTTCCTGGTTCGTTTCCTCCCCCTCCTCCTCTTTCTTCTCCTGTCTCGCAACCCGTCTCCTGTCTCGCAGCCGGGCACTCCCTCTGCCGCTTCGCTGTCGCGAGGCGTTCCGTTTTCCGTCTCTCTCTCTCTCTCTTACTCTCTCTCTCTCTCTCTTTCTCTCTCTCTTCGTAGTTCGCGAAGGGTTGTTCTAGGCCTCCCAGATGGGATCCGAGTAGATGTGGTCGAAGGATCGCGCCGCATCACTGATGCATCGTGCATGCGTCGGCGATGCATCGCCAATGCATCGTCGATGTATCGGCGACGTCGGCGTGCTCCACATCGAGCCACATCGCCGATGCATCGGCGATGCGGCAGGATCCTGCGACCCCATCTACTCGGACCCCATCTAGAAGGCTGCCATTCGCGCGCTCTTCTGTTCATGAGCCCTTCCAGATGCTTGGCTTCAGTGGTGGTGGTGGTGGCGAGGAAATCCCCAGGGACCGAGGCATCCCGGGGGACAAAAGATGAGAGCGCCGAGCCAGGCCAGCCGCCCTGGTCCTCTCCAGAAGCCTCTCGGGGCCATCTTGGGGCAATCTTGCGACGATGCTGGGGCCATCCTGGGGCTTCTTCAGGGGAGGAAAGGGGTATTGTTTTCTGATGCGTTGTTTTGCTGATCGGCGCGGGCCCTCCTACCCCCTCCCCCTCTGCCCCCGTGGAGTAGATCTTGGCTGTTTCTGGCGCCTGATTCAGGCGGATGGAGTCTCCTCCATAGGGCGCAGTGTTGCACACAGTCGTACTATGCAGAAGTCCATAGCTGGACCCCCCCCTCCCCCCCCCTTTCCGCCCAGTGTCGAAACGCCGAGTAAGAAGCCGCTCGCGTGCCGATACCGCTACTCTTCCCTCGTTTCCGCCTGGTGGGCCCTCTTAGGAGGCCCTCGTCGCCCCCGCTGGATTCGCTTGGGACTCCTGGTCAGAAGGCGCCCCGGCAGAGTTCCAGGGAGTAGTGGTATCGGTACCCTTGGTTTCCCCATTTGGGGGGTTCTTGGCGCCATCCTGGGGAGCCAACTTTGGCCCTCTTGGGCAGGGTCCGTTTCGATCTGATCGATCCGATTCGATATCGGCTCTGGCAGGCCCGATTCGATTCGGTTCCGAACTTCGGACGATCCGATGCGGCCCGATGCTTGTGCATCCTGCCGCTGCCAGTCCTACTCGATTTCGATTCAGTGCCGATGCGGCCTGGCGCTGCCAGTCCTATTCGACTTCGATTCGGTGCCGACTCGGCCCTGGTCCGATCCAGACCGAGTTCCCGGTTCGATGTTGGCTGCTCATGGCTGGGCGATTCTAGGGGCCATTACCCAGACATCCAGCGCCTCGATCGTTTCGGAACACGGGCCCCCGACCTATCGACCCCTTCCCGGGACCGTTTTTTGCTGTTTTTGCTTTTCCTCCCGAGTCGCTTTGTTGACGGTCTCGAGGCCCGCGTGAGGGCCCCAAGAGGGCGAAAACGATCAAAACAAAAAACCCGTCTCGATTTTTTCCGAGGCGCCGGATGTCTAGGCACCCAGACCCCCGGCGTCATGATTTCTTCATGACCAGCCCCAGAGAGGCTTCGACCTATATTCCCCGGGACCGGTTTTGTTCATCCTGACCGCCGTTTTTGGACGCCGGTTTGTGCCGGCCCCGAGGCCCGGGACGGGCCCCCGGAGGCCGAACATTAGCGAAACACCTCCCGTCGTGCTTTTCAAAAGCACGACGGTCCGGTCCAGTTCGGCCGGTTCGGTTCCGCCTGGTGGGCCGGTTCGGTTCGGCCGGTTCGGTTTCCGCAGGTTCGGTTCGGCCGGTTCGGTTCGCACAGCGGGCCGGTTCGGTTCGGCCGGTTCGGTTTGGCCGGCCGGTTCGGTTCGGCCGGTTCGGTTCCAGACCCGGCTCTCGGTTCTCGGTTCGGTTCGCGGCCATCGTGCTTCTGCCATGACTCGAGGGGGTCGGGGCAGATGGCGCCTGCCGGGGCGCGCTCCCCCGGAGCGTCGAGAGCCGGGCCTGGCCGCGGGCGCCGCGCGCCCCCCCCGCGGCGCGGCGGAGGAGCTGGCGGTGCTGCGGGCCGCGCTGGCGGGCCGCGGGGGGCAGGCGAGCGGGCTCCGAGTTTGGGTTTTTTTTTGTGCGGTTCCAGCCTGCTTTTTTCGCCTTGCTCCTCTCAGACCCCTGGGGGAGGGTAGAACGACGCGAAGATCGGGACAAAATCGGATCGGGGTAACTCGAGATCTCTGAGAATCGGCGGGTTTGGAGGATGTATTGGGCGCCGCGGCCGCTCCACAGCGTTCCGGAACGCTCTGAGAGCGCTCCTGAACGCTCTGGAGCGATTTATCCCGATCCTAGCCCTGTTTTAGAGGGGAGGGGAGAAGCTCGGAGGAGGAAGAGGTGATTCCCCACACCTCTGCCCTCCCCTGGTTTTTCCCCTCTCTGTGCCTCCTGGGCCTCTGTCGTCGCCACCGCCAGATTCGCCTCGAAATCCTGGTCAGCACGCACCCCAGGAGAGGTCCGGGGAGTAGCGGTATAGGTGCCTCTTGATTTCCCCAGACGGGGGGCGATGAATGTGACCAGACCCCATCGAGCAACAAACAACTCACGCATAGCCACACCAGAATATGGGGACGATGTTTCGATTATGTTTGCCTATTTGGAAGTATGGTTTCAGTTTGTTTTAATGGTTCTTCCAAGATCCGCCTGTTGAAGGACATGCCCGACCGAAACCTACCCAGATCCCGTCGAGTCATGAAAAAATCATGACGGGAGTTTTTTCATTGCCTTGGGCTCTGGGGGCCCTTCCCGGGCCTCGGGACCGTCAGAAAACGACTCAGGAGGAAAAACCGGAGCCCGGGAAGGAATAGGTCGAACCTTCTGGGGGTGGGAAAAATCATGACGCCGGGGGTCTGGGTAATCCTCGACCACCAGAAAGAATTCCGAGCACCAGGAAAGTATCGAAACTGGAAGGGTGTCTAAGCGTCGGCGATCCTGGGAGGCGGTGCTCGTTCGGCACTCCGCCAGCGTAACGGGCAGGCATTGTTCTGGTACTTGTTTTTCGGGGTGCTCGAGATTATCTCTGGAGTACGACGGGAGCTACATCAAGTTTGTGTGGCCTCCCCGCTGGCGGGCGGATGGGCGTTGGACAGTGCGGCCGAGCCCTTCAGGAATGATGCGCTGCGCCGGCAGCATGCCACTGGAGTCTTGTATCTCCGAGCGTGAATTACCTACCCCGCTTTCGCTTCCAGGCAAAATCAAGTCATACCACGCGCCTCCTCGTCAGGCGGCCTGACCAGTACAGGCCGTAGTTTGGCATCGTTTGGTATCTCTTGGAAGCGAGGGTGGTCAAAAGCGAGGTAGGTTTGTTTTCCCCCTAGTATCCCCTCGCAACTCCGTCTTTATAGTGCTCCAGCGTCGATTGTCGTCGGATAGTCAGTCGATGCGAGAGCGCCGATCTGGCGTCGATGTTGCGTCGACTGTCGTCGATTGGCGTCGATTCGCAAGAGCAGCATGCTGGTATGGTAGGCTCCCATTGGGTTGCCGCATAATGCTGCTTCGTGAAGGCTACCCTTGCGTCCCTGCTTGATGTGCCCATCCCGAGCCAATGCTGACGTCCCAGGAGCTCCGAGTGGTAAGTGGGGCTCCCGAGTGCCCGGCACCCTCGCCATGTGTCCTTGCTCTATGGACTTTGACTGTGAATCCCGAGCGTTCCCGCTCGTCTTGGATTGAGTGCAGAGCGGCGCCTAGTGGCGTTCACTGGCGCCGGAGAGCGCCCAGCAGCGCCGAGCAGCGCTCAAAGGGCGCCCGACAGCGAGCAACAGCGCCCAATCGCGCCCTGTGCGGTCAATCCGCTCTCTCCGCCCTGCGGGGCGACTCGGCGCGCCAGTGGGCGCCGCGAGCACGACCAAGCGCTTCGACGAGTTGCTGTCTGACGGGCAGGGCCCCGGCGATCGGCCCGATGTCCCACCGCCTCGCCCGCCCGCCTCCCTGCCTCCGCCCGCCCCCCTGGGAGAGCAGGAAGGGGCAGAAGTCCTGGACTTGGCATCGCTCGGACGTGTGCACTTCTTCTCGGCGGGGATTCTGAAGGAACATCCTGGATCATCCTGCGAAAAAGCCACGCACGAAGCCGAGAAAGCACAGGGAATGGACGTCCGAGCGATGGCCAGTGGAGGGGCTTGCTACTTTTTGGCCCCCTGGGGCCTTCCACGGGCCCCAGGGCTGTCAGACCAGGATGGCGAGCTGGTCCCAGTGGAAAACGACGCCAGGCTCCAGGACCCGTTTCCCTCGGGACATGTTCTTTTCATGCCGGAAGGTTGGGGGGCAGGAAGGAATAGGCGGTGGTCGAGACCCGACGCGTGGTAGACGAACTGGGGTCGGAGAGGAGGCGGAGACACGCGGCCAGTTGTCCTGCCCGTTCCTCTCCCGCCCCACTGGGCCGGTGGGCTGGGGCGGGCGATGCGCTGTGCCAGCCAGCCATACAGCTTGCGCCCAGCAAGACGAAGGAAGGGTGGGGAGGGGATGAGGAGCAGGAGGAGCAGCAAAAGGGGGAAGAGGGAAGGGA